CAAGGTGTAGGGAAGTACCTTTTTAGACCAAGGTGTAGAGGGAAGTACCTTTTTTAGACCAAGGTGTTATAATCCTTACCATACAGCTATATCATCCATCGGTTCTCACTACCTTGTCTAGGTACCTGGATTATAGGTAAGTGAAATTGAGGCGTATGGCGCATCCACAGTAGAGAGAGAGAGAGAGAGAGAGAATGTGGTTCTCTTTTCTTATTTCATCGCTGCTGATATTATTTGTAGAAAATCCCCCACCCCTCCACCCCCCCACCCCACCCCACCCCCACCTTCCCCATATACCTCTCTCTCTCTCTGCCTCTTCCTCAACATTAGCCTCACCAACCCCTCCTCCCTCTTCCATCAACTTCTCTCACCTACTTTTCCTTCTCCAACACTCTCCCGTTCTCTTAACTTCCCACATCATACCACCACCACTATCACCACCACCACCAAGCTACCATCACACAACTACTACTACTACCACCACTACCACCACAATCACTACCACATTACCACCACCACCACAATCACTACCACCACTACCACCACCACCACCACCAAGCTACCATCACACAACTACTACTACCACCACCACCACAATCACTACCACATTACCACCACCACCGTGTCATCAGCATTAAGGTTCCAGATGAACCTTTGACACAATACCACCACTTAACCTTTACACACGGACGTCCTCAACTCTGCCAGGGAATATAACCTCTGTTTATCTGAGGTCGAGCTGGGTTAAGTAAATTCAGAGGTTTAGTCAAGATTAAACAGTAACTCGGGTCACATGAGTCAAGGGTTAAATAAATTGAATTCGGGTCAACAATATTAACCAGGGTCAACTATTGTTATGTGAGGTCAAGTAGGGTAGAGTTAAAGTCTAGTTGTATATCCTGATGTATGGGTCAATTACCGTCGATACGAGGCATTTAGTACATGAACGAGCAAAGATGGTTTAGAGAGAGAGAGATTAGTCTATTTAAGTTAGGATGAGGTTTAGCCTCAAAACGGATTACCAAGCTTTATCCACATATTAGCCTAATTAAGCTAACATGGATCAAAAGAATTAGTCTGTGTCAGTTAGCATAGAGTAATGAAGCCAGTCCTGATCAGTAAGCTTGGTCCCTTTATCAGTATGGATCAGCTAGCATGGAGTGGTATTAAGCCTGAATCAGTAAAGGTTAATGAGAGTCAGTAAGGATCAGTCTGAACTCGTGCTAGGTGTTGTGGAGGAGAATTCAGTCTGGCGCATTAGTTTCCAGGATTTTGTAAGAATCGTGACTGATGAGACCGGATGAAGGGGCAAATTGGTAAAGGAAGTAAAGACGGAAAAGGGTAAGAACGGAATGAAAGAGGAGGATGTGGAGATAGAAAAGAGGGTTAAGGAGATAGAAGAAGAGGTAATGATGATGAAAGCGGAGGGAGTCGAGATGAAAAGTAAGAGAAGGGAGAGGGAAGGAAGTACAGTAGAATGTATAAATGGAAGAGGAGGAAAAAAGATTCAAAATGGGGAATAAAGAAAGATGATAAACCAGACATAGATAAAGATGGAGATGGAACTAATACAACATTCATACACCTATTAAAAAAAACGAATAACTATCAATATATATGAAAGAAAATAGAAGGTGGGTCTTGTGGGTATTCTCTTATAAAATTTGAACTTAAAGGAAAAATGGTAATTGACTTTAGAGACGTGGATATTGAAGAAGAACCGAAGGAAAAAAAATAGATATGTTTTGGAGAGGAAAAATTGCATTGTGTGTGATACTTATATTAGGAATAATCTGCCTTAAAGCTCGTGTATTCGTTTCCGCTACGTAGGATAGAAGAGAAAAGATGAAATTGTACTTTTATACTTGGAAATCTCTCTCTCTCTCTCTCTCTCTCTCTCTCTCTCTCTCTCTCTCTCTCTCTCTCTCCGCCACAAAAAAACATTGACTTCACCACGGACTCATCTCCTTAAACCCTCATTCATGATCTCACTTCCCTCTCACTCTCTTTCCTCCCACCCACTCTTCCTCTCTTACACTCTCATCCTTCATTCACAACCTCTCACTCACTCACTTTCTCTCATCTCACTAACACCAGTTGTCACCAATAACCACGGGATGGGATGTGACCTGGTGTTGTCAATGATTCACGCATTCAGCGCTCTCTCTCTCTCTCTCTCTCTCTCTCTCTCTCTCTCTCTCTCCCTCGTCACACGCCAAGCATTCCAGCCGTAACAGAGGACAAGGCTGCAGCATCAGGAATAGTTAGAAGGATTTGACATAAAAGTCTTGCGTTTATGTATTATTATTATAAAGGAATTTAGGATCTGTACAGCCATTGCCTCCTCCAAGATTCGTTGTCCTGATCTAAATGAACCTACGTGTACATGAAGACATTTCCTAACTTATGTAAATAGTACCAAACTCCTTAACTATTTGATGGTAGTCGAGATGTAGAAAAAGATTTTAAAGAAAACAAAGGCGGACGAAGGGCTAACTTAAATATCACTGTTTTGTTTTATTTTTAGTTTATTTTTTATAGTTTATGCATCATATATCGAGTCCGGGACCTTGGTTTTATCATATTGATATTAGGAGTACAGATTCCCTAGACTGTGAGGCCTGTTCCTTGGTCTATACGTCTCCGATACGTATATTTTTTATGTTTACTTTGAAGTCCTTGAGCACATAAGTCCGTCCTGCAATATTCCTCCTTTTGCGTTTCCATTCGACTTCATACCAAGATCCTAAGAAAACCATTTCAGTTTTGTGGTTTCCGAAGCTACGTACCAATTTGTTCGGTCATATTAGAGAACTGGATGGAACTTATAACGTAAAACACAAACACGACACGGAATTTGTATGATCAAGGGTTAATCTCTGTGTAAAACAATAAGAGATGAATGAGTTATATATGTATCTGTAAGTTATATCATGGGGTACTTTTCATATGTTAAATTTTATCCCAATGACGATATGACGAGAGAATAGATAACTAATAAACGTTCTTACCTGTTGAGTGTCGGATCATGTAATAGTAATGAAAGTAGTGTGTGTGTGTGTGTGTGTGTGTGTGTGTGTGTGTGTGTGTGTGTGTGTGTTTCTTTTCCTCTCTCTCTGTCTCTGTATATTTCTGTGTTTTTATATACAGGGCAGGATACAAGGGGAGGACACAGTAGGCAGGATATAATGGTAGGCTGCTCGGCTGTGCGTGTTGGAGGATGGAGGGGGTAACTCTCTCATGCTCACCACGTTGTTTTGATATACGAGTCAAATTTTCCTCGACGTGATCCATCCATTCTCCTGCGAGGCGTCAGCTGAAGAGGATCGAAAAGAGAATTGGGGAAAATAGGGAAATAGAGAGAAAGGGGGAGAAAAGGAAGTAGACAGAGAAACAGAGAAAGAGAGGGAAGTAGAGAGAGAAAGGGAGAGAGAGAGAACGAGGAAGATAGTGTAAAAGAGAGCTAAAAAAATATAAGAGGAAAACGCCCCAGGTGAACGAGAGATGAAGTGTGGGAACTGATGATGATGAAATAGAGATGAGAAGGAGAAGAATGTGTGTGTGTGTGTGTGTGTGAGAGAGAGATAGGAGAAACAGACTACACTTTGGTGGAGAAAAATACCACACCACACATTCTTCTATTTCTCTTTTCCTCCTCCTTCTCTTCCTCCTCCTCTTCCTCTTCCTCTTCTTCCTCCTCCTCCTCCTCCTCTTCCTCTTCCTCCTCCTCCTCCACTCAGGATGAAGGTCAACCTAACACGGGCTCCCCTTGATAAATATTTCACACAATCTCACAGCTCCTCACTTCCTCCGGGGTAATGAACGTGGGTCGTTCTCTACACCTTTGACGGATCACAAACTCTGCAGCATTTGTTAATGGTATTAATGATGTTTTGTTCCTTTTGTTTTTGTTTGTTCTTGTTCTTTTTTTTTTACGTGTTTGTTTTTGTTCAGTTTTTTCATTGTTTAGGATATCAGTTATAATGTTGTTATTGTTTTGTTGTTGTGTGATTTTGTTGTTGTTATACTTTTAGATTCGATGTTGTTGTTTTATAATTTGTTTATTTATGTTTTTGTGACATGTTGATGCTACTACTCTCTCTCTCTCTCTCTCTCTCACCACTCTCAGCACCACTGTCACCACCACTGGCCGTCACCGCCACCACCACCACCGACACCGACACCACCACCAATTACCTCACTGTCACCACCACCACCACCACCACCACTCGCCACCACCACCACCGTCACCACCACCACACCACCACCGTCACCACCAGCACTGCCACCACCACTGCCACTAAGTTCCAGAGCTAGTTATAAACTCAGGAACTTCGTCTGTGAGATTGTTAATGTATGTTGCAGCAAATGTGGAGTATAGCATTGTGTGTGGTACATAATCTTAATGAGTTAAGTCGTAATATATGTTGAGTTTGTTTTAGGATTTAGAAGGAGGGAGGGGGAGGGGGAGGGGAAGGGGAGGGGGGGAAGGGGGAGGGGGTAGGAGGTCAATCCAGCCACTTAGTGTCCTTCCGGTGAAATGATCAAACTACTCTAAGAATGTGAGCGTGAGTTATGCTTGTTGTTTACCTCCAGTAAAGACGCATGGTGTGTGTGTGTGTGTGTGTGTGTGTGTGTGTGTGTGTGTGTGTGTGTGGTCAGCGCACTATTCTTATTATACCTCATCACCACCATCACCATCACCAATTCCCACCACCACCACCACCACCACCACTACCATCACCACCACCACCACCACCATCACCATCACCATCACCACCCCCACCACCACCACCACCACCACCACACCATCACCACCACCATCACCACCACCATCACCACCACCACCATCACCACCACCACCACCACATCACCACCACCACCATCACCACCACCACCACCACCACTCACCACCACACCACCACCATCACCATCACCATCACCATCACCACCACCACCAACATCACAATTAATCTAAGGTATATCTCATATTCCAGGTCCTCCCACCACCATCCTAGTCAACATGAACGTCCGCTCTATGGGACCTTTCTCCGAGAAGCAAGAGGTGAGTACCCACACTTCCTACAAAGCCTTCTTCAGATAACCCTTTAAGTGAATTAATCCCCATGGTACAGTATATCCACGTCATGTATCTAACAGTATCCATAATATACACAGGAATAAAAGAACTTACGGGGAAAAATAAAGCAAAACTACCCATTTACCTTTATAGATGAATATACACAACTCTCAATTCTTTACTTTATGTGATTATTGGTTTTCTATTTCCTCATCAATACGATAAATTGTGTAGTATAGAAATATTGAAAGGAATAAATATGCACGAAATTAAACTCATTGATATTTTTATTTCTCTTCTCTTATACAATTCATTCAAACATTCATTCATTTCATTCACTCTGTTTGATTCTTAGGAGTTGGTGATCAGATAATAACATAACTGTTGTTTTAATCTCGTAGTGCCTCGCTGGGGGTTGGCTTGAGTGTTAACTGGGGATCCAGGTCAAAGGGACTCCACTAATAGAGCCAGTTCTAATTGAGCCAGTTCTAATAGAGCCATTTTTAATAGAGCCAGTTCTAATAGAGCCAGTTCTATTAGAGCCAGTTCTATTAGGGCCAGTTCTAATAGAGCCAGTTCTAATAGGGTAAGTCCTAATTGGCCTCAGCAGTTCCATAAATTCCTAATCTTACCGAACCAAACATGAAGTAAACAGAACTCTTGACCATTAAGACTTGACCTGACTTGACCTCACTACTACTGGACTCAATACTAATAGTGAGGGTAAAATAGGTCATGAGCCTTATTGAACCAGGAGACTATATGACCAGCCACCTCTTGTTACACGAGACTATAGGGCAATTGGTCATTACTTCATTACATTTGTCTTCTTGAAAATATTACCTGTTGTTTCTTCTATTGATAATATGAGATAAGGCTTCTTTCGTCTGTCTTTAAGTGTGGGTATTATCTGTCTGTCTGTCTGTCTGTGTACACACTAAGCTATCCACCTTTAGCCACGAAGCGACTACTGAACTATGTGCCTGCTCTCTCTCTCTCTCTCTCTCTCTCTCTCTCTCTCTCTCTCTCTCTCTCTCTCTCTCTCTACCATCTCCCATTTTCCATCTCAGATCCTTATATATTCTCAATTTCCACTTCTTCTTCTTCTTCTTCTTCACTAATTAGTTTTTCTTTCTCATCTTTTTTTCACCTTTCACCTTTTCTTTTCAGTGTATATTCTTTCTCTCTCTGTTCGTGGATTTCATTCTCACTCTCTCTCCACCTCTTCACCTATCTCTGTCCTCCCTGTATCTCTCTTCCCCGTTCATTCCCTCTCCATTTATCTTGTTTAGTCCTTCTTTTCTCCTTCCTCCTTCTCCCTTTCTTTCTCTCCCCTGCCTCGGTTTTCTTTCTCCCTTCTTCCCTTCCACAACTCTCCAATCTCTCTATCTCCTTCACTCATACTCCCTCCCTCCTTCATTTCGTCCCTTCCTAACATATCCAATCTTCCTCTCACCCTGACTTCTTCCCTGCCCACCTTTCCCATCTGCCTCTCTCCTTCTTCCCTTCCTCACCTCAATCATATCCATATCTCCCTCCTTCTCTCCCTTACTCCTCATGCCTTAAATCCTTGCTCATACTCACACCAAGGCATTTGACTAAGCCGACCAGGAGCCCCCATAGACGCTGGCAAGTGGAAACCACGCGTCAGTGAAGTTGTCAAATCCTCCGGTTTCGTCTCCACCTCCTCCGCCGACTCAAGTCCTCAGCGGAGGTTCACGCACACCAGGCTCCTCAGTGTTTACACAACATTCATACTTCCCGAGCTCACCTATGCCTCCCCTACTGGTCTTCCTCCTAAATGCCACACAACGTAAACACCTAGAAAAAGTGCAAAAGAGGGCATGCAAGATTATTCTCTCCCCTTCCTACTCCACATATCAAGAAGCGCTCAACACACTGACCCTTTCGACTCTCACTGGCCATCACCACGACCTAATCTGCAAATTTGGTAAGAAGCTTGTACACCATCCTCGACACCGGCTCCTACTACCACCTGAGATCCCTAGCCCGAGAATTGCTGTTCGACACCACAACCGCATCCAGCCCATACGTGCACGAACTGATCGCTATAAGAACAGCCCAGTCACAACCATTGTAAAAATTATCAAAAACTTGTAATAAACCAGTGTATTCACTCCCAGTAAATACTACTTCTTGCACTGTCACTATGTTGAAATGCCCTGTAGTTTGAGCTTTTCCCCATCTAGTTATTGTATATCTTATTTGTATCACTTATGTTACTTGTATATTATTTGTAATTCGAAACCCATTCCCCAAATATGTAACTGTATATTTTCAGCCTTCTGGCTGCCAAGCTCTTTCAATAAACCGTTAATTATTATTATTATTATTAATTTGTCTTAACCTCCACTGAATTGGGAAGTTTTCTCACAGTCCTCAGATGGTCCGGCATTCATAGCTACGAGACCTTTCTGTGAACTCAACTAGTGAATGATTATCACAGCCGTACGTCGAAAATATGATTTGTCAGTCACTGATTTGGTGGGATATATGACTGAATCGAACGGTGGAGATATGAAGTAATAAGTAACAGCTAACCTCATTATTATCATGTGTCATCATTACTGTTTTGTGAGAAATTGTGGTTTGATCGATCGACATACATTAGTCACCCGGTATATATATATATATATATATATATATATATATATATATATATATATATATATATATATATATATATATATATATATATATATATATATATATATATATATATATATATATATATATATATGTGTGTGTGTGTGTGTGTGTGTGTGTGTGTGTATGCATGCCATTTGTTGTTGGTGTTGGCTTTTTCAACCCCAAACTCGATGGTGTTGTTTGAAGTAATCTGTCGCAAAAAAATATTTTTATTTTACCCTAAAAGCGTCGAGTTGTGTGGATGTTCCCTCCTGGTCTACTCTCAGGGGCTGCTGTAAAATTTACTCTGTGTCACCCAGGTACAAGGACCATTTTTCCCTGACCCATGTTCAACAGAGGAGCAGGAGGAGGGCCTGTGACAGAGAAGTGCCTGGAGGCTGGTCACAAGGGCCCCAGCTCCAAATGGACCCCAAATTAACCTAAACTAACTTAACCTAACCCAAACTATGCTGAAGTAATCAAACTTAACCTAGCCAAGCATTTCCATATGAACAATGGTCCAGTCATTACATGATACTAGTCCTAATTGGCCCTACCAGCTGTAATGAGCAAGCTAGGTTAGATAAGGTGGGGGCCCATTAGAACTGGGGCATATTTGACCTCGAACCCAACAAAGGAGACTGATTAGCTGTTTCATCGTACACTCCACCTTGTCATTATCACTTTTGTACAAACCGGGTATAAAAAAATGTGTATTCATTGTCTTCCTGAGCTTATAACAATGTTCATATCCGGGTTTTTTCCATTTTCATTATGTTTTAAAACATAACTTTTATTTAATTTAATTTTTGTTAGTGTGTAAAACCAACATAATCATTTTTATTGCTTCTGGTATTATGACCTTTAAGTTTACAATAAAAAAAAAGTCTCCATTGTTTGCACTAAAAGACTGATACGTTTATGTTGTCTTTTTGTTCTATTTTTTTTTTGTAATTTTTCCTACATGTATTTGTTTAGTTGTTAAATTTTTTTGTCGTGTTTCTTGTTTGTTTTTAATTTAATACTCAATTGACGTCAGCAAATAGTTTAGATCAAAAACAGAGACGCGACGGTCCAATGATGATCTGTCAGAGCCATGCTGTGTACTCTCTCTCTCTCTCTCTCTCTCTCTCTCTCTCTCGTACACAGAGAATCAACAGTAAACTGATCTAGAAACACAGAGATACGGCCAAACATTAACATATTAGTACAGTTTATGCAAAAGCTACATGATTTTCTTTCACTGTCGGGCAATGATATAGGCAGGTACAGGTCCAGGTCCAGGTACAGATCCAGGTCCAGGTCTTGGTACAGGTCCAGGTACAGGTCCAGGCACAGATCCAGGTCCAGGTCCAGGTCCAGGTCCGGGTACAGGTCCAGGTACAAGTCCGGGTACAGAGAGAGTCAATCAACACTACAATGCTACAATTCCTTCACCAAACTGTACTCAAAACAACGATAATGGGTTTCACACAACGAATTGTATTTTTTTATTAATGTTTATATGCTTATCAATGTGTAATTTATAGCTGTTAGTTATTATCCATCTCAAGCAAGTGACTGATTACACCCACATAATAGTTTGTTCTAGTTAGGAAGACTGCCGACAGATTGCCTTAGTTGAAAAGGGTCCCACAATCCTAGTTCACTCCCGATGTATCAAAGTTTCACAATTTAAAGAGGATATACCTCACCCTTGCTGCCTCTCCTACATATATGCACACGGTCTTCCTATTGCGGCTGTATAATATTATCATTACTTCTCTGACTGAGCTGAAGAGTTATGGTGATTCAGACAATATAGAGTGATACCTGAATGTGTGAGTATTGGTTTTACGGTGTTGAGTTAAATTAACTTGAATACTTTTAATAATTGTTTGTATGAAATTGCAGCTGATAACGGGATAATATATTTCGTTATTAAAGTAACTTACGAGTGTGATATCTGATTAAATAATGAATCAAAATAATCAAAATGTTCAGAGTTATATAAGATCATTCCCACTGTCACAGGGATGGTTCGTTAGCTTGTTTACTCATTTCATCAACACGGGGGTTTAACTGAGAATCTATACACCTTGCATTATATCTGTTTTCAATATGTTACTCTTCAGTCCCGCCTTAGATCCATACTGCATTATATTTAGGTAATCAGATAAGACAATTTTGGCAACTTGTCTTATTTCTTACTTTCATATTAGTTTGGCTAGGGTAGTTTATTTGACTCCTGTGGTAGAGTCTGTGCCCCGACCTGGCAACTGTGAGACCAAGACCTTTGCTCTCCACTCATCTAGGTGTCTGGCGGTCACTGTTGGCAAGGCTAGACTGTTTCTTCC